CGGGGCCGGGGCGGCGGCGGCGCTTTGGGGGGACCCTTGCGGGGCTGGTGCTGGTCCCCCCGGCTCCTCGGCAGCCCCGGGGGCGAGCGGGGCGGGCGTCTCGGGGGGCGGCAGGTTGAAGTTCTCCCCGAATTCGGCTTCAAATTGTCGGATGAGCTCTTCCAACTTGTCATCCACCATGATGGGAGCCGAGGTGGCCGGCGCGGGGGCGGCCGGCGCTTCCTCCGAGCCCGCCGGCGCCGAGTGAATTTGGGGGCCCCCGCCTGGGGCACCCCTTTCCTGAGAGTCGGGAGCCGGGGGGACGCCGCCGGGGGGGTTGGGTGGCGGGGGGCATGCGGCGGGCTGGGGTAGTGCAAGAGGCTGGTGCGGGAAGGCCGATGGCGGCGGCGGCGGGTCCGTTTGCATTTCCTCGGCGGGGGGTTCGGCGGGGGGTTCGGCGGGCGCCCGAAACCCCTCCAGGCTGATCTGCCAGAGGGGTGGGAAGAGCGGCTGCGAGTCCTTCTGCTTCGCCTTCTTGATCTGCACTTGCTTGCGGAGAGGTTTGGTCGGGGGAGGCTTCTCGGGCGGCATTTTCTTCTTCTTCTCTTTGGGCTGCTTTTCGAAAGGTTTGGGGGGCGCGGCCGGGGTGCCAGGGGCCCACCATCCTCCTGGCCGCTCCGGGGGAGCTGCTGCCGCCAGGTTTTGTTCGAGGAAGAGGCTGCGCTTGTGGTGGAGATGCTGCTGCAGGACCAGCTGTGTCTTCTTGTGCAGGTCGGGTTCGGGTGGCGTCGGCGGCAACGGGGGGCCACCCGGTGCCTCCTTGCTGGCCGCTCGCTCGGGGGGCTCTGTTTTGGGGGCCGTCACTTTGCCGGGGGTCGCTTCGGGTCTCTTGAAAGCCGCCTTGATGTAGTCGTCAGCGTTGCCCAGCAGCTGCTCCAGCTCTGCCATGGGGTCTCCAGCCCCCGCCGCCCCCTCGGCCTCCAGCCCCCACGGCGCTGAGAAGTTGCCCCGGGGAGGTGCCGCGCCGAAAAATGGCTCAGGTGCCGCCCCCGGCTCGGGCGGGTAGCGGGGCTCGTCCCCTCGCTGCCACGCGGCCCCCGGCGGGGCGAGGGGGCCCGGGCCGAAGGGGGTGGCAGGGGGTGGCGGGGGTGGCGGCGGCGGGGGCTGCCCATCGCCCGCAGGCTGGGGCAGGGCGGCCGAGAGCTGCGTGAGGGCCTCGATGGCGATGGCGGTTTGCAGGCTGATGTTCTTCTCCTTGGCGATGGTCAGCGCGCTCTGGGAAAAGGGGAGGCCGTCGGGCGGGCACGGCTCGGCGGCCTCAGGCACCGGCTGGGGGTCGATAGCACCTTCCTGTGGGGTGGGAGGGGGGATGGCAGCGGCGCGGGGCCGCGGGGACGCCAGTTCTTCGCCCAGAGCCGTCTTGATCTTCTGCTCCAGCCATTCCAGGTAGTCGGGGCACTCGGGGCCGTCGCAGTTGCAGTTGGGGGGCTTCACGCCGTGCTTGGCCAGCGCCAGGGCGGCCTTGAGGGCGTGCAGGTCCTCGCCCCTGGGCACGCCGTCCGCCACGCCCAGCCCGCCCCGGCTCATCTCCGAGTCGAACTTCTCGTACAGCAGCGACGGCGAGCCCGGCGGTGGGAGCCGGTAGGACGAGACGGCTTCGGCCACCGCCGAGAAGGCCACCAGGTTCCGGACGTCTTCCAGGTGGGCTTTGCCGGCGGCGGGCGGCTGGCCCGGCGACCACCCGCTGGGCTCCATCAGCGCGGTGCCCCCCGGCTCCGGCCGGCCCCCATTCACCAGGCTGAGCCCGCTGCCCTCGCTCAGCCGCCTTTCTTCCACATAATTAATTGGCCCTTCTTCCATTTGGCTTCTGCTGGGTCCATCAACCGCGTCACCCGCCGAACCTGTCTGCGAGGAGGGACAGAGGAGAGAGGTGAATTCACCCTCTGTGACCCACGTGCCATCACCCCCCAGCCTATTTTCTCCCTCTTTTTCCTTCAGTCCCCTGTTCCCCATCTCTTTTTCAGACCCAGGGGATGAAGAGGCAGATGAGCCACGTGAAAAACTAATTGCTGGGGGCAAAGCCAGGCGGGGTTTGCCCGGCTGAGTAAGGACCAGCTCGGTTCAGAAGGCGCTCGCTTTCCACCCACGCCCCCACCCCGCCACCCGCTTTCAAAATTGCTCACGGGGAGGTTCGGGATTTCCATCGCCATCCTGGCTCCGGTGACACAGTTTGCACTGGTGAAGGAAGCGGCACGGGGAGGGAGAGGGGGGGTTTTTTTGGCCCTGTGCCCTGTGTAAACATCCTGGCCGGGAGCAGCCGGCCTTTGCCGGGGGCCGCAGCACGGCAGGAAGCTGCCAGAGTTGGCTACGCCAGTGCCAGGGGCTGCTTTCACCTCGAATAACCCGGTGTCTGTATCAACACGGCCGGCCAGGGCCCCCCGGCAGCGCCAGCAGCGCCGGCAGCACCGGTTGCGTGCCAGGGACAGACCAAACCCAGCCATCCACGCCGGGCACCCAGGGAGCCCATCTGGGATGCACACCCTGGTTAACACCTTCCCAGGGGTTCTGCCAGGGATGGGGGGTGTTTCTGTGCCCTGTGACTCCATCCCTGCTCAGCAGAGGGGATTTCGGTGCTCCGGCAGCCGGGCGCTGGCAGCGCGTGGAGAGCCCTTTGCCGATAACCAGGGGGAGCTTCCAGCAGGCTAAAAATACACCCCGGTCCGCTGGAAAAACCGTGCCAAAGCAAGCAAGGGCTGTGGGCAGAGCTTCCTGCCGCTGGATGGGGCCGGCACCGGCTCGTGGGAGGGAGCCGCGGCTCAGATTCAGAGAGGAGACCCCGAGTTACGAGTCACAGCTCCATGTTACAAGTTAGAGCTCCGAGTTACAAGAGTTACAACTCACAGCTCGGAGTAAGGGCTGGTGTCCAAGCCAGTTGTCCCCGTGGGGCTGTTGGTGTCGGGGCTGTGTTTAACCCCTCAACCACCGGCCCCACTGCCTTCCCCTTCGTGCTGAGAGCGTAAGTAGAGCCACACACGCTCGGATCCCACACCTGAGATAAGAACGCTGCTGACTCCGGCAAAACCCCAGTAAAAACCTTGGAGGAGCCACTCCCAGCACGATTCTATCCCCAAAAATCCCTCCTCCCCGCGGAGCAAGGGTGAAAACCCCCAGGGGGGGGCACAGCACAAACCACGGCGGCCCCGCTCTGGCACGGGGCTCACCCAGGTGCTGCCGTGGGTTTGGAGGGGCCGCGCTGCCCTCGAAGCATCTCCGGGAGCTGCGGGCAAAGGGACCGGTCCGGCAGGTCTGGGGAGAAAGTGCTTCGCCCCCGACGGAGCGCCCGGGCAGGGTGGGGACAACACAACACGCCTCCGCTCTACTCTGCAAAGCACGGCAGAAACAACCTCGCCCGTCTTTCCTACGCCGTCATCTTCCTCCTCCTCCCGCCCAGCCAAAGGGGATTTTCCCAAGCGGCTCGTTGGAGATAAACACCACGAGTCCTCTCCGAGAGCGCGGGGCGGGGGGACGCGCCGGGGCCCCCAAGTGTCACAGCGCTGACGCCACCCCGGGGAAATGATGACAAACCAGTTTGGCTCAGGGTGGGAGCGGCCGCCGGCACCCCCCGAGGGTCTTCCCGGGGGGAAGAACCTGCTGGGGAAGGGCAGGGGAAGCCCCAGAAAACAGCCGCGGGGCCAGGGAGGCACCCTGGGCTGCTCCATCCCATAAACCAGGTTATGGATGCGGGCTGGGGATGCAGGAAAATAGTTCACCGTGTGAATCCAAGGGAGGACTGAGAATTCCCAGATGCTCCTAAAGGGTTAACCCGAAAGCCACAACCATCCACAAATCAGTGGAGGAAAAAAAAAAAAACCATATATATAGATATATAAATATATAAAACATAATTATTTTTTCGTGCCTCTCTCATCCAGCTCCTTTTGTTCCCGGCCCCGTGGGCTGGGAGATGGAAAGACCTCGCGGCTTCCCCCCGAAAATCGATCTCCCTCCCCATCCCGACGCGCTCCACAGAAATCCCCCCCATCACTGCCCGTGGGCACCTATTTGACCCCTTTTCCCTGGAAAAAGTGCTGCCTGCCCAAACCTCCTCCCATTCAG